GAATTTATTTGAGTGAGTTCAGCTTTCACAATGTTCTTGCTCTTGCTTCCTCCTTCATGGTTGTCTGTTACAGCCGATGCTGGAAAATCTGTCCCTTTGTACATTGACGTCATTGGAGATTTACCTTTCTAACAATAATTCCTAGTTCCATACTGTGTTTGCCCAGCCTCTCTTTACCTTTGTCCTTGGATGTATATGGCATTTGTGAGATAGCTGCAGTGATTTAGAGTGGTGCATGTTATAACTTATGACTCTTCTTCATGCTAACGAGTGCTCAAAAGATATCAAAAGAAATGATAATGGTGAAATTTTCACATTTCAAAGAAAGTCTATTTATTATCAAACCCTCTATTCATTAGTAATGCTTCAGAAGTGGATGAGAAACAGCTGCTTTTTCTCAAGGAAGGCATCTTTTACTTGATAAAGAAATCACTGGATGCCAGTGTTGTTGCTTGAAGATTTCCCCTTTGCTGTTCTTAGAGATCATGCATTTTCTTAGTTACTGTTGGACAATTCCATTTGATTAAATTAGTCTTTGCGTATAGGGAATCACTATAATAGAGATATCATCCTCTGTGCTGATGCGTTTGTTGGAAGACAATCTTTATATTCTGATGGAGATGAAACAGTAGCTCTCCAGTTTGTGCAGCTTCAAGTCCCATAACTTACTATCAATAAGCCCTTCATTTTACATAGGCAGCAGCCAAAGCACTGTACTGAAGTTCTGTGTCTAATTTCATTGCTGTTGGCAACTTGGTATCACCAAAGGGAGTTCTACTGGATCATCTCTTACTGCATCTTTCTTGCTGGGGAGTGGCAATATGCACACGTGTGTACATGTGTGGTTTATGTGTGTATGTATGTGCATAGAAGTGCAGTTGCTTTATTTCCAAAGCACTAGCTTAATGCTCCCAGTGTTGGTTGCAGTCCTTCCTGGAGGTCAGAAAACCTGACCTCACATGTGCTGCTGTGATGGGGTCATTTTTTCCTTTCACATGTTAAAGCACACGAGTGGATTAATCTGTTGAAAAATGCAAAGCTAAATTGACTCAGTGCAGCAGTTTCATCTGTGGAGGAGCCAATATTGGGTGATGACATTTTCTGGCGAGTGTAACTTTTGAAGTATAGATTTGGCTTGTGAGCACGGCACTGGTTGGTGAGTTGTTCCTTCTGCAGCACCGGCCCGCTGCGTCCCTCCTCTTCCCCCATCCCTGCATCTCGCTCTGCAGTCCGGGTACAAAAACTCTACTTTTTGTTGTAAGTCTACTCCAGTGAAGGTGAACCTCCTGGTAACTGCAAACACTCATTGCACGGGTTTGTTATCATGCTAATTTGCAACTTCTTACGTCTTCCCTGTTGTCTGAGCCGGGCCTGCCGTTGGTTGGGTTTGCACCACTGCTCTTTAAACACCACGTTTTGGAAACATTTGTATTTACAAGCTGCAATGCAGTGCTGTTGCCTTAACGTTTTGACTGACCCTAATTGCTATGACACATGTAACTAATGATGTTTTGTACTTTCAAGGAGTGCACTAAAAAGGTGATGACATATGAGTTACTGAATAAGGTACTGTGCAACTTGTGCCGTAGAGTTTGTGCAGACCTTATGGAGCATAATAAGCAGTTTTCCTGTGCTCGTACTTGCTTCCCGTCGGACTGGCCTGTCTCCAGAGCTGAGGCTGCACTGCACACTGGAGGCTCAGAGGGAGAGAGCAGCAGAGGCCTGAATGGGTCTCTCAGCTTGCAGAGGCCTAATTTGATTAGGCTTTGATTTGATTCGCATGATTTGTGGCAAATATGTCACCATGTGTGTGTGTGTGAGGAAACTGGAAACAGGTGTAATTTAACAAAACGAAAAATTCAGATTGCCCTTTTATTTTTGTTTATTCTTCAACCAGAGTCTGATTTATGCTCATTGGAGTCTTTGAACTTCAACTCCCTTGAAGAATCTCTAGTCTGTCGCTTTTTGATGTTGCTGGAAGGGGGATGTGTGTGCGCGGGTGCATGCGCTCCCGTGCTATGGTGCTCTGGGCAATCTCACTCCAGAGTGCTTCCCTTCCTTTGTTTAACCTATGACCTGTGAAAACAAGAGTTAATCAAAAGTTCTAAGGTAGCTAAGAGGAAAGGGAAGTGTTTGGTTACAAATTAAATATGAGCAAGTCATAAGCCATAAATCTTCAGTAGTGCTACCAGTTGTGCTACTTAAGTTGCATGTGGTACAGAAAGTTTTTGGTTATAAATTCAAACTCCATTTCTTTGGAGGGGTGTTTAGAGCCTGCCTAGAGGATTTGCTTTTTGTAAGAAAACCTCCATGTCTGTCTTAACTTTTGGCAGAGATTCAGAAACATGCCGATCACTGTATTTCTTGATTTTGATACTTCAGGGGGCAACTTTAACTGGTCACAGTTTGGTCTAATAAAAGCAGGATTGTTTCACTCTTGGAGTAGTAAACACATGGAATAAGTGATGAAGTAAAAGTATTGAAGATGGCAGGATAAATTAGTTTTCTAACTGATGTATCCAAAGGTTTCAGGGTGAGAGAGATCCTGAATTCTGTGAAGGAGGGAAGTGGGAATTTAAGTGAGATTTTCTACACGATTTACACAAAATTGTGGTGGGTTGGTTTGGTTTATCTTGTCTTGCACCTCCTTTGAGCAAAAGCTACACAGATTCCTGTGTATTGTTCTGTGTTGAGGTCTGCTTCAAATACCCACTAACTTCCTCACTTCAGCACGGTGAGACTTCTCTCCTCAAAATGGAAAGGTGTTCTTAGAATGAGAAAAAGAAGAGCTTATGCTGAAATACTAAATCATTATTTGGAAAACCTTGATTAAAGGAAGGCAGAGTTAGTGTTAAACAAAAGATAATGATGAAGTTCAATATAAGATACTACACTGAAGAGAAACAGGAAAGCCAACAAGGAGTGCATCAGGAGAGCAGAAATAGGGCTCTGCCTTCCCTTCTGGTGTATGGAGGGTTTGCTGATGTTTTAATGTTATGTGAATATGAGACTTTATGTGGACTATTTTGATGAGAGTCGTAGGAGTTATTTTCTAGGTGTTGAACAAAAGAATTAAAGTTGGATGTGGATGGAGTATTCTTGGGGATAGAACCTACAGATTTGTCATGTTTGTTGTACTCCAGTCTGTAGTCAGGTGAGGTTTGGCTGTGAACAAACAGATCCCAACAATACAGATGAGAAATCTCTGACTAAAGAACCCGCTCTTGGGTTCAAAACAGGCATTGTCCTGTTGGGTACAGGCACCACGTGTCGCTGGCAGTGCTGGGGACCTGGTCTGGGTTAGGGTTCCAGACAAAGTGCAGCTCTGGCAAAGTGGAAGGAGAGGTAATTCACATTTGTTTATTGGTGTTACAATGCATTGCACACATACATTATAAATGGAGTAATCTTTTAGAGGATTCTTATTTTAATTCCATAAATGTAGTTTTCCAGGAAGGTCCCTCAGCAATTAAGTAGAACTTTAAATATGCCTTCCTGAAGCAAGGTTTGGTTTCATACTGAAAGGGAGCTTTCGGCCTTCTTGGTTTTCTGTCTTTTCAAACTCCTTTGATAGCTGCCTTGCAGGGATTTGTTTACCAGGTTCTTAATCTCTACTTAGCAGATATGTTTTGAGGGGATTTCTTGTTACCCTTGTAATGGCTTTTAACTCTGCTGAAGTTTATTTAACGAAACAGAAAGAAAGAAACTTATCTTCTAACTAATCCTTCTTGATTGTTTACAATATAATGCCAAACTTAAATGCTGTTTAAAGTGGTAATTGTCTGTCTTTCTGCTCTATTCTAATACATAGTTTGTAAAGATGCTTAGAGCATATTAATTTAAATGATAATACTGTCATATAACATGAAAAGTTAAGTTGCTTATCGGTGTATTTTGATAAGCTACTTACATTTTACAGTAGCATTTGCAGCCTTCAAACAAATGTTAATGATGGAGTGCCATTCACGTTATCTGTCTCATATATAGCTTCTCACTTCATTTATTACTAAAAGCTGTACAGTTAGGAACCATGGGGCACTCAATTCTTTACAGTTGTCAGGATGTAGTCATACTTTATAAAAACTTTTAACTCCTGTCTGACTATATCAAACTAGAATCCATTTGCTTCAGAAAGCATCTGTGATTAAAAGAAGCTCTGTTTGTGCGTCACAAAACCTGCATTGCTATTTGCTGCAGCTGAGGGGAGATTCCTCTGGTATTTAAAAGGAATTGGAATAAAGAACCATGCCATGAAAATCGGGCACAAAATCATACCAAAGCAGACTGGAGTGAAAAGCAGCATCTTAGCTGTCTGTCTTACTTTATGGAATGGATGTGATTTTTCTGCATGTTTGTCTTAATTTTGTTTCTTTCTTTCTTGTGTAAGATGAGTGCAAATTTATGAAAGGTAAAGTTTCTGTTTGACTTAGCTAAGGGCTGGGCTAAGTACAATGATGAAATAACATTTGACAGCAGTTAAAAACTGAGATACTGATTATGCAATTTAAAAGATCGAGTTGTATCAGATTTACAACTAACTGTCTGTGGTTTACTGGGCTGCACAGAGCTATTCCACATGGACTTTGGGAAATCAGTGTGCTTAAAAATATTCCACCATACATGAACATCAGTCTGCATTTACCTTGCAGGTTAAAAACTTCCATTGGGTTGTATGTTTGTTCTGCAGGGATGAGGAGGAGGGTGAGCTCCTTGTTTACAGCTGGTGCTACACATGGGGGTCAATGCCCATGGGTGGCTGGAGACGCTGGGGAGGAGGAAGCACTGAACCTCAGTCCTCAAAGGAAAGAGATGCCACAACCTCTGGCAGTGTCCTTCAAATGGAAGTCCCATGTGGCTTTCCTAACCGGTGTTTGTGAAGTACCATGTCCAGTGGAGGCTGTTGGTAGGATGCATCCATATCACAAGGCCAGCAATACTGGATTTAATAACTGAGGTTTTGCAAGTTAAATGTATGTTCTTTCTTTCTGTTTTCTTTTTAGTTACCTCCCTTGGTTTGAAGTCTTCTATAAGCTGCTCAATGTCTTGGCAGATTACTCAGCAAAAGGACAGGTATTATTCTAAAGCACTAATCCTTCTTTTCCCTGCTCCAATATCAAATGAGGGAGAGAGGATGAAAACAAGCTGGTTTAAGAAGTGCTTATGTCAGAGATGACCATGTGAATTACTACTCTGTACGATGCCGTAACACAGAAGATCATATTCAGCCAAGCTGAAAGCTGGGCAAGTGCCTCTGAGAAATAAATTATTTTGGGGTGAAAAGATAAAGTCCAAGACTGTGACTGTGGATCCAACCCAATTTACTGGTTTCTCTGCAGTCACCCATGCTGCACATACCTGAATTGTATTCAGCACATCCATGCAATTCCCATACTGCAGTGTGAACTAAGCCATTAAAATTTGCTTGTAGGTTTATAAATCATAATTCATGATACAGAGAAATCACATATATGATTGCAGCACCTAGCCTAGTTTCATATTTGTGTTCTAGTTTGTATTTAGTAGTCTGTATTTAAAATATTACAAGTATAATCTGCCCAGTTAGGTTGTTGCTTTGATTTATTACTATTTTGTGGTAATTGTATTTTGCATTTGTCAGAGTCATTCACATTTAAGGTAGAAGCACTTAGGATCACATCTTCATCCAGATAGATTATATGCATTTGGCTTTACCCTAAGCTAGTGAGATGTTATAAAGAACTTGTGGTAAAACCTGGCTTGCTCTGAGCTGAGTAATTATGTAGTGCATAGGTTGTGACTCTGTATGTTGCAGAAATATGTAGAAATGCATCTGAAAAAAGAAGTAGTCTAGTAAAATCATGTTGTAAAACTCAGCTGTCAGAGGAAACAGTCTCTTCATAGTCTAATGTATAAATCTATTTCACATTTTTCTTTATGCTTGCAAATTCTCTTAAGCCCCCAATTCCACAAACATTGCTCTTCTGTCTTTCAGTTTTGCTTGTTACAGCAATGCCTACTTAGTATTCTTCTTATTCTTTTTATTCCCTCCTTCTCATTTCAGGATAGTCAAAGGAGTGAGCTCCTAGAAACATTTCATAAACTTGCCATCCCTGAGCCAGGAACCTCTGTTCATCTTGGAGTGGTAAGTGGAGTGGGAGAGACATAAACTGAGGTGTTTAATTTTCATTATGTACCACAATAGAGGAATGTCAAAAGCAATTCTCCTTTTTGGAACTTGGTACACAGATGTTGTTTTCCTGTGAGGACACAGAGCTGTGAAATTCCCCTTTTCACATTTGGGGCCCTCTGTTTCCCTTTCCTTAACCTCAAATATCTTTGAAATGCTGTTCTTTGATTGGAGGAAGATTGTGTATATTCCCCATGGAAATTTCTCACCATATCGTCTGTGACCTGCAAGAGGTCACAGAGCAGCAACATGACATTTATTGCCCACACTTCTGCAGAACTCCTAGGTCTTGCAAGTATGCAAGGGGGACAAAGCTGGCAAACAAACAGTCACCTACCTGTCATAGCAGCATTTCGAGTATTAACTGTTTATCACATCATCTGATTCCTTTTCCTCCCCCCCAAGAAAAAACCTCCCACAAAAAAAGACTTACTTAATTTTTATACCTTCTGGGAAAATTAATCAAAGAACACTGAAAGAATAGATGTGGGCTTTTATTGACATGACTGTATTTGGAATTTAGTCTTTTGGGTTTTCTGTCTTCGTATTTATCTTTGCAGAACAACTTTGTGTTCCAGCCTGTAGTGAAAAACTACTTGAGATGCACATTACTGCGGTTGCCAATTAGTCATTTAGAGTTCACATGGAAACCAGTGGTGTGTGCAGCCACAGTTCTCTTCTCCCTCTCATTTCCTTTACTCCTTCTGAAGTACTTTTTGGCAACAAGCAGCTTACTCTCATCACTTCACCCTGTAATGTCAGTCGACAGGTAACAGTTGTTTGGCCTCGGTAGGTCACCAGCTGGCAGCAGCTATGTCCCAGTCCTCTGGAGGCAAGCTCTTTTCTGAACAGCATTTCTGTTTAGGGGACAAGCTGTCTCAAAAGGCAGTGATCAGTTGGGATATTTCAGGTTTTTCATACCAGTGGTTTCAAGGAATGCTGCTGGTCTCCCCTTGTCTCAGACATTTCATGGGTGATGAAGCAAGAAAGGATATAAAAGAAGCAGCCAAGGGACTGTTCACTGGGGTGTCTTTGCACATTTTCTTTTGACTGTTTACAAGCCTGCTTTGGGGTCAGGGTGAGGTTCCTATATGTGATAGAGTTGTAGATACTGTTCCTATATCTTTGCATGGCATCTTTTGAACTAAACTGAAACAGTGATATATCAAAAAGCAAAAAATTGTGTTTATACATTTAGTGTCTATATTCAGTGTGGCTGTTATAGCCACTTGCTATTTCGGGTTATAGACTGTTCATGAAGCACTGAAATGTCTGAGATATATATATACACACACATATATATATCCACAAGAAAATTGTGCCAGTTGTGGAACTATGCCAGGAATATAACCACCTTCAAAGCTTCAGTAAGGAATTAATAAGTAGCCCTAAGACAAATTGTGAAACTCTTAAAAATAGTATAAATTGTATACAGCGTTGATTTACAAGAGCAATTGAGTTGTATTCTCTCTCTTCCTTTCTCAAAGACCTAACCAAGGATCGTGCAGGTCATGCATGGTCAGACTGGGAACTAGAGTGAACCCGGTCTTTTGGAATGCACACAATTAAAAAATGTAGCAATCTGATGGGTTACGAAATAGTGATTGTGAAATATGGTCTTTCAGATGTGTTTTTTAAGGCATATAAAAGTGACCTAGAACTTTAATTGTATTTTTCAGGTAAATAGGCATAAAAATTAGGAAGAATTTCTCAGCAAATTTCCATAACTTCACAATTTTCTTGAATGAAACTTGGGGATGTTGAAAGTCAGAAAGGGACCCGTGTGCTGGTGTTTCCTGTAGTCCATCATGCAACCTGCAGTGGGCTGTGAAAAGATGGCTTGAATTAGAGACTGCCTTGGAGTTTCCTTGGCATATGTCATACATTGTGTGAGTCTGTCTCTACTGGTGTCTCTGAAGAACAAAAAAATGTAATACAACTTCTCAGGAGCATTTGATACTTTCTATCTTAATGCATTTCATATTGCATGTGTGATCTGAGAATCCAGCTTTGAAACCCATGACAAAGAAGTCATACTGGTAGTTGGTAACGAATGTTCTGTCATTCTTACTTAGCTGAGCAACTGCTATTAACTGCTGTTACTAATACCAAGCAATAAATTCAGATTGCTGTTGACAATATTGCAATAATCGATATTTGCTCTTCTTCTTAGCACTCTTACTTCACTGTGCCTGACACCAGAGAGCTTCCGAGTATACCTGAAAATGTGAGTACTCCAGAGGACCGTGCACTTTGCCATTTCTGTTTCATGTCAGCAGCAAAAGAGATAACATTTGTTACCTCTGTTTGGCCTAGTAATAGATTATATTCTGTAAAATACTGCTAGATGTTGAAGTGAGCTTGCGTGTTTCAGTGTGCTTCAGATTTCTAGCCAGATGATAGGTCTGTGGGAAGACAATGCTGGCATTTGCTTCTCTTAAATACTCTTTAATATGCTCCTGCTCTGTCTCTTAGCCAAAGTTTTATGCCTCTCATCTCTGTTTTCTTTCTCAAATATTTTACTGTCTGCCTTAGCACCATATACCTGAATTCATGGCATGAAAGAAAGGAAGAAAAGGGAATGATCAAGACATTTTGTCTCATTTGTGGATGATTTGTATAGCAGATTACATTTGGGGCTTTTTGTTTCTGTGTTATAACACTGTTGCTAGCTTTTTTTGTGTTGTAGACTTTCATACTGACATGTACCCTGTCAGCAAATTTAATAGATGTGCTCTTTCTTCTAAGGTATTTCATTTTTGTAGAAATATGATACATTAGGAGTAATTCAAGAGTCAAATCCTGTCCTAATCCAGACATGAAGTTACTTGTTTATAGGGTTTATATTTTATGTTCATCTCGTCTATGCTAATCTGCTCAAACTTTAGCAATTTTCATTTGATAAGCCTCAAATCACCTGGAGAGCAAGGAAGGAAGCTTATTTCCATTTTATGGGCTGGTGAATTGGAAGGCAGAGAGTAATGAGTTAGTAATGGTAAGAAACCAGTTGCAGGGATTAAAGTAGATTGTCTGCCTTGGGCTTGCTTTAACTGATATGGAACAGCTTAATAACACAGTACCTAGTAAAGGCTTCAGGAAGTATAGCTGTATTTATGCTCTGTTGGTTATGTCTGCTGGTGATGTTCGCTTTATATTCAAAGGTATGAGTCAGCTTCCCAAAACATTTGAGCAGGAGACATGATGAATGTTCATGAATCAAAGGATGTTATAAAAGCAGAGGCCTTGGGCCAGAAGGAGTTGGAAACCCTTTGAAAGCTGAACGCTCAGCCTTCATGGGAGGGAGGGAGTGCCATGTGATGCTAAAAAGCATCCTCTTTGAATCATTGAGTGGTGCTGATGTGCCTCAGAGGGGCTGTGACTGTTTCCTGGGTATCCTGTGCAGCTATGTCACTGCCAAGGGTGCACTCAGCAGTGTCTGGGAGGAAGCAGCACACCTCTGGGAACAGAAGGAGAAAAACATTTCAGTTAACAAGTATATATGCCCCTATACTTACATGCATATACACACATATACCTAAATTTAAAAAGCTAGGTCTCATTGTAAGAAAGAAAAGTATTAAAAATCAGATCTGTTGGTCTGCCTGTTGTTGCAGTTGACTTCTATGTCTCAGGCATTTTGCTTGCTTATTTTTTTTCTAATGAGTTACGTGTAATTTCTTAGGAGTATTTTATCTGTCTGTTAATGCAACTTTCATGTAAAATTGAACCATATTAGGGAATAATACGAGGACATTAAATGAGCATAAATCTTCCTGGATTTTAATCAGTTGGCCTCATTTATTCAAAATTGTACATATCTTATCAGTAATTACATTTAAAACCCATATTAGCAAAAGTTTTAGTAGTTCCAAACTTTGAAGTTGTATGTGATGATGAATAGAGAGCTGCACAGAAGTCTATTTGGAATGTTAACAAACTTTATTATCTGACTTTGTGTCAGATCAATATGTTTAATGAGTCACAAAAGCATTTAGTATGGACACTTTCATCTAGCAGCTAAGCATTGACTTTTTCCAAAGATTTAAGTTATGTGAAAGATTTGTAAATGTTTTGTGGCTTCAGAAATAAATGTGGGTGCATTTCAGGAAATACAGTGCAAGACTGTGACTTCCCTGGTAGTATCTGTTGTGTTTCAGATACCAGGGGAGTTACCAGTCTGAAATGATGCATGTTCTGGTGTATTTTTGTATCACTGAGTCCTGTATTTCAAAATGCCTGATTTTTCACTCATTATAACATATGTCTTTTGTTATCTGGTTTTCTTAAGCCCTTTCCCTTTTATTTCTATATTTACACCATTTGATAAAGTATATTGTCATTATTTGTTCTCCCAGACACCAGCATGGCATTACAGAAGTGTTGGCTGCACACCAGATCACCTACCCTATGTTAGATTTTGAATATGTGATATTTGAAAGAAAACAAACTTCTAAATAAGGTGGGAGATTTCCAAAGGAGGATGGAAAAGGAAACTTGACTCAATTCTGTTGACCTGTTCTAAGAGGGAATTTACTGAAGTCTTGAACATGAAGCTGTTCAAGAGCAGACTAAAATAAGTGAGCTATAATCCATGTTTGGGCTTCACTCTTTGCAGAGGAGATGGCTCATTAAATTGTTTCTTCAATAAGAAATTCTTCATTAGACGATGGAGGAAGAGAAGTACATGACATTTTTCCTATCTCAAAAGTCAGTGTGCATGTGAATTTACTGGTATTAGATAGCAGATGATCAAATAGATGATTGATCTAGGAATGAAGTTTCAAAGAAGCATGAGGGAATTCTGCTGTGCTCCCAGTGAATTTTGAGAGGAGTGGGGATACCTGTTCCTGATTTTATTTTGAAAATCCCACTTCTTACTGCCCCAGGAACAGTTTAAATCCTGGGAAACAAAATACACAACAATTATACTGTGAATTGGAACGCTTTCATTTGTATTTATTTAACTCATTCATGGTTTTGTCACTTACGAGACATGTCTTTCAAAATACATGTGTAAGTCCCAATTTCATCTTCAAAGATGACAGCTTTCTTATAAATAAAACTTTGAGCTAACACGTGAATTTCCTCAGTATCAATACATTACCATACAGCCCACATGCTTCACAGGTGTCACTGGCAAATATCTGAGAGCAGACAAGACTAACTCCTTACAATCTTTCCATCTGAAGGTACATCTCTGTGTCAAAGCCAGTATTTCACCACAGTAAACTTGATGAAAGAATAATTGCAAACCCAGTCCCTGGGTCTGTTTTCCTCTCACTAGTGGATACTGTTGCCTTACAACCACATCCATGCACGCACATATCTACATCTTGGGGCAGAACATGGGGGTTATGTGCTCCTTTGCCATGCCCCTGATCTGAGTGGCACCGAAGGGAGTTCAGTGCTATACAAATTCTTTTAATTCACACTATTTGCAGTGATTGTGTCGTCATGCACCAGTGTTTTGGCGTCGTGGAAAGATGGGTGAGAGGGGGAAGAAGAGCCGTAGAGAAGACAGCTTATGTTTAGACAAAAATATCATGCTAATCAGCACAGATGGGATGAGAAATACAGAAAAAGTACATGATAGTTTAATAGGTTTTTGGCAAAATGTGTTGGCTTCTTATATTCCACCCCCCCCTTCTTTGAGTATACCTGTCTGTGGCTCCAGCTTTCCAGTAACAAAGACCTGACTGATTGCTTTTTATTAACATGTTTGAAGCTAACCATAATGAGCTTAGTTTTTCTGTATCTACGTAGTGGTACAAAAGTCCTCCAAATACAATGCTTAATTTTTCTTTAGTTCTTTGTGTTTGGATGGCAAGCTGTGGAACATATTTTTGCACAGTATGAAGCATCTTGGCAGACTTCTCAGGCCAAGTATTGGTGGTTTTAGAGTTATCTTTGGATCTGTCAAAAGTGCTAATAGGCTTTGTTGAGCTTCTTTAAGTTTCTAAATCATATTTGCTTTTTGCTTTTCTGCACTTTTTTATTTAACGATGATTAAGATTGCACTTGAATTCATGACTAATCTAATTTTGCTCTCCCATGTGCTTTTTGTATAAGACTGTCTTTAGCATACAACAACCCTTCCATATCTGTAAGAAGCTATTTGGAAATGAATTAATGAATTCCCTAATTCAGCATTTTGGGCTGTATTACCTTGTCCTCCACTCTCCCCCCCTTGATTTTTTTTAATTCTCTATTTTAAGAAGTGAAAATATCCTCTACACACAAAACTCCTCTTTTTGTAGTGCATTTTGATCAAGTCACCTACAGGGTGGCTTTTAGTTTAGATAGTGAAGATCTTGGGATCACATTCTGCTGTTTATTAGAAGACATCTTAAATGTTTAGTAAATGATAGATTATTCATAACCCTGCAGCATGTGCACAGCGCAGTTACTTTGGTAGTGAGGAATGGATGATGATGTTGGCTGATGGGGTGATGTGGGGAATGAACTGGCTCTTGTGCACCTTACTTGGTTTTATTTCCTGAATTTCAGTTATTTACAGTAATTTTTACATTGGTGCTTTTTAATATTCTGAGCAGCAAAACCATGGAAGGAACCTTTCTTGCCTCTAGGAATTGTATATGTAATGTTTTGGCACTGTTACCTGCTTGTGTCTTGATCTTTCTATACTTTAAAGGCAGATTGCAAATGTGCTTTGCTTACAATATTCTTCTACTGCTGTTAATTCTCTTTATTCTATATAAATCTACTAATTGCTGAAGTAAAATTGGGTGTTTGAATCCTGCCTCTTCATCAGAGATGGGCATCCACTGAAATTTTCAGAAAGAATGTGGTCTCTTTCCTCATTTCCCCAGTCCCAAGGAAGTGCTTTCTGTCTTCCAAGGGAAAACCTGTGTCAGGATGCACAAGGTCAGGAGCTCAGACAACCTCTATAACTGTTGGTAACGTGCCTCTTAAATGCCTGTATGTATTTCCAGTTATCAGCACTGTTCTAGCGTAGACTGAGCTTACATTTGAATTTGTCATATTAGAATTACCCTCTTAAGAGAGCTGGGTTTATTGTTGGGTCGTGAAATGGGGGTTTTTTGGTACTTAATCAGTCAACTTTGAAGTTACCTTAAAAGTGACAGAACATATTTTTCTCAGAGGAGTATCTTATATTTAAGAAGCTGTACGTGAAACATCATCCATTTTATTATTCCAGGACCCAGCTCCCCAAAAGTTAGGGGAAAGATACTGCAATTAGAAAATACTGTGACATGAGATGACATGCTGCTTGCTTTTGTTAAGCCAGGTACTGGATGTAGCATAATAGGAGGATGAAATCTGTTTGGTTTTTGGTTTTTTGTAAAGGACACTTGTTTTTGTAATATTATGAGTCAAAAAATGATTTTTTTCTCTTCCCAGAGAAATCTGACCGAGTATTTTGTAGCAGTTGATGTCAACAACATGCTGCACCTCTATGCCAGTATGCTGTATGAACGCCGCATCCTCATTTGTTGTAGTAAGCTGAGCACTGTAAGTAAAATGCAGAATCATTTCTTCTGTTCACAGTATTTCTTTTTAATGACAGTCATATATAGGAAACAATCTGATGATCTCCAGGTCCCCCTTCCAGCCTCAGCTCCGCAACCCCAACTCGGTTCTGTGGTTCTGTGTGAGGATTTTATATAAATTCTGTTGGCATCTAAAGATCAAATAAAAAATGGTCTTTTGGATGCAGGAATTCTTGGGGTTGTTTAGTACATAAATACACAAACATTTATGCTGTAGTGAAATCCGTTTTCATAATTCACTTGTCATAAAAAAAAAAGGATAAATCAAGGTACTGTCAAATGGATGTTCCAGTGACCTTCACTGGATGGACTAAAATACATTGACAATTCACATTTTTGCAGTTTTGTCTGATAAGGTGTAGCCTTAATGCTACTTAGGCTCCATCAAGTGTCTGAGAGATGAAAGCTGCTGAATACTCTAGAGTCCTCTCTTCTGAAAATGGCTGGACATCAAAACAAGCACGCAGCTTGATTCAGTTCAAAGTTTTGTGTTATGCATTTCAAGGTTTATCTGTCAATAAGATTGTGATTTACTTTATAAAAGAAAATGTTCAGTTTTCATTCTGTTTGCTCTGTAAATGGCTATTGATTGCTTTCCTTTATGAATGACGAGCATAAGATGGTTTAACTAATTTTGCTTTCTAGTGCTACGGACTAAATACTTGAGTGGTCCTTTCTAAAATACAAGCTTCCATTTCCATTTTGTATGGATTTAACTAGTCTCTTACTGCATGACCATAAGCTACTTTATGTTTGAGACTAAAACTGCTTCATGGAATTCTAATTACTATGGAAGGCTGAAATTATGTATGTAAAATCATGTCTGGATGGTCTGTCAATATAGGGCAGAGAAATGGAAGAGAGTAGGACTTCATACTTAATCTTAGAATAACTGTTACAACATTTCTTTGAAAAGTAAGTGAAGCCAGGAGAGTTAGAACAATCTCTGGGACCTATTAATAATTGTTAGCAGTTTACAATCAATCCCCTATTTAACAGAAAGATTGTGTTATAAAATTTAATAGCACAGAAAACTTGTAAAATCTTAACTTTTCTATCTGCCAGGTGTTCTATGTCCTCCCTACTAATGTAAGGGAAAGTACATCCATGCCTGGTGTTGGAATGAAAGGAATAAGGGAGGTGTTTATTTCAGAAACCTAAAGAATGAAAAGAAGAGTAAATTATCAGAGAGGGGGAAAGAAGAGACCGGCTATCCAAAGCATTTCAGAATTGGTGTGGTTGGTTGGTTTAATCTCTCCCTTTGTGACAGAGCCTGGGAAGAAGAATTACTTACCTGTCACTTTGCCTTCCTTAATGAGCCATTTCACAAGTAGGGTTGTGTTTTCTTTCCTATCTTTCTGCTATTTCTCTTCCTTTTGCCTCTGTCCAAGATAAAAGCATGTCGGGTTCTTCGGTAGGGAGGGGTATTCATACTGTGTGTTCTTATCTTACAACTTTATATATAAACTGCTCCAAGATTGGAGTGACAGTGTAAGACAGGTTTGAAGTGTTGGGCCGGAGCCAGCGATTCCTTCCCTGCGCGCTCTGCTCTGCATGTTCCAGCAGTAGGAACAAGCTGCATTATTTTATTTCAAACTGTGCTCAGCGGAAGCCAAGACCTTGTAACTGGAAACGTACCAAGCTGAGAATTCTCAAAGTAAAGTGAGGGTGGGGTGGTGTGAGGGGGATTGGTTTCTTTGTTTTTAGGTTTTTAACTAAAAAGTGGAAGGGACCTATTTGTGGTTAATTCCTGTTAACATGGAGAGACATGGTGCGCTTCATACTTAAGGCTTGAATTTAGTATCAGGTAAGAGAGAAAATGAAATAGTCCTGGATAAGAAAGTCTTTTATAATAGCTTGAATTCTGTGCTAGAATACGTCATATCAAATTCAAACTTTAATTTGAAATCTCCTTAATGTAGTTAAGTTGAATAAGATGTAGGGGTACCTGAATGAGGCTGTGTTTATCAGCTATTTTATAACCCACATGTACTGAACCTGTGGAAGAATTATTGCTTTTTTCTTGCATTTCTTTTCTCTTTTTTTTTTCCCTACTAAAGGAATCTCAGATAAGTTCTCAGAATGTTAAAGCAATTATTCATGTTGCATTTCTTTGCATTTCCTGTGATCTACTCATGAAAAGCCAAATATGAACCAAAATGCCTAAAACCCCTGTGCTTGGCAAAAGAGCACCTGCTGGTGGGAGCGTGCTGTTGCAAAAATGAAACAAGAGCTTTCCTTGTGTCCAGTATTCCCTCTTCCATCTGAACTTGTGCCTGCTGCCTTGCTGCAACAAGTCCTGTTAACTGTTTGTGATACAGGCTGCAGGAGATCGTGTCTCATTTTAAAAGGTGGCTGATGTGAAGCCCGATGACTCTTAAAGAACTTAAACTCGTGAATTTCTGTGATGTTTCTGTTTGGCTCCATCATACGGAGGTGAATTTCTTGGTGTAATTTTCCTGTTATTTTTTGAGTGTTCAAACAAAGCAAAACCCACCACTGACATGGATGCTCTTTTGTTCCTGGGCATTGAGAGCTTGCTGTGTCATTCCGTCCATGTCCTAGAAAGCTCAATCCACAACCACTTACTCCCTGGTTGGTTTTTGACGTGCCTCAGGGCTTTGAGAATGAGGAAATGGGGGATCCTTAGGAAAAGACAACATGGGATTAATACCACTCACCAAATGTCCTTGTGATGCAGCATAGCAAAGAGCTCGCACAGTTCTTGTTCTACGATAGCCTTACAAGTACTGTTGTAGATGTACAAGCTCTTCCTTCCCAAGAGCTCTATCGCTGTCCTTAAAACCTGCCATTATAGGTCTGGACCTTCATACACAGCCTTTACAACAGCCCTGCTTTCATGGCTTAATTGTTCTATAGCTCAGGCTTAAGCTTTCTAGTTTGTTTTTAGCTCTGAGTAATACAGAGAAATTATCTTACAAGTACGCCAAAGGTGGTAATTTTTTCTAGTGTATATAGCCACGTACTTCACCTGTGCTTCAGGAGAGAGAAATATGCACTGGGAAGTGGCCTGTTGCAGTTCAACGTCATTTTGTAACTTTTACATGTGTGCCAAAATCCCATTGATTTAATTTGCTCAAACAAGGCTTTTAGAGTATTAAATATAGAACTACAAAAAGTGCATTAGTGAATCAGTGTCTTTCTTGCATAGCTATCTTTTTACATTCTCTAGCAACAGCTGCAGGAAGCTGAGGCAGTGGAACTAATCTTATTTCCAAATGCTGGATTCCTATAGTTTTGACAGTTGGGCATTTCTCAGGCTGCCTTATTATTAAGTGCTTGGTTTCTGTATGGCAATCACTAATCAGGTGAGGTCTCCAGCAAATATGCTATTTCTTTTTTATGAGCCCTTATCTTGGCAGAGTTGAAGGACAGTGCTGGTGCTTACCCATGGTAGTATGTTATTTGAATTCATGCCAGATAGCAAGGTGGGAGTACATCTCAAAAATAAGTGACAGGTTCTGCTCAGATGTCTGCAGTGTTGAGCATTATGTCTGTTTAATCTTTTCTTGCTGAGTTTTAAAACCAATGGGAGGGGGGCTTGGAAGGGGCCTCCTTGGATTAGCGAGTTCAGTCCTCTACAGCAGCAACTGTGTTAGATAATAATGCCAGGACATAATCCATTTGATTCTGACAAAGCAATTTTAAAGTAAGAATTAAATTTACAAATGGTATTTTTTTCCATCTCTTTTTGATTTGGAGAACAGAAACAGCAAATATAAATGATTTAGGAATATAGAGGAAAAACTACAGTGGGAAGCAGGCCCTTTTTTCTGCTGCGTATTTTGGAACTAGGCTCTGGCTTTCATCTAATCTGTGAGAGAGGAACATCTGCTCCAGTAGGAATAATATAAAGATAACTTGAAATATAATGGGATAGGGATAAATCTTTAGTCTTTCATGAGTCAAAAATATAGGATAAATTCAGGATTTCGTAGTTCCTAACTTTTGTTTTAATTAGTTTCCCAACATATTAACATTTCTATCCCCTATGGACCATAAAATAATGTTCACCTGCTAGTAAAGACCTTTCTTATTGAGAAAGACTGAACAGGTACTTGTTCAGATATTTGCTGTACCCTGTCTGCTTCCAAAGACACTATTTCCTTAGGATGGTGGTTCAGTCTTGCATATTCTCACTTATGGAAACACAGTATCAGCACTGGGATGCTTTTGAGCTTTGTGAGTTTGTGGACCCTCTTGTTACGACACTTGCTAAGGTGAGGAGTGACTGTAGCTTTCATGGGAGACAGAAGTGAACATGTAAGGGATTGTAAAAGAGGGTCAGGCACAGGCAATCTGTGCTTCCAGCTTGTATCAGTATTTCTTGAGAGAGTTTAATGAAATTGGGGAGATACTGAAGTGGGTGTTAAGATAAAGAGAGATGAAACAATATTATTTGTGTGGATGAGTGTCACTAGTTCAGGACATTTTTTGGCCAAATTATGGTTCAATATGGTAGAGAATTGGCAAAGAATGTTGGCCAAGAGATAGACTTAATAGGCAGAAACCAGGGATGAAAACAGGTTTTGTTTGAAGTCCTAGCAAGTGGGACAACTGTACAGCAGTGAGCAGCTTTCTGTGTAGAGCAGTTTCATTTCTGCACACCAAGATGCAGCTGCTGGAGTCTGGAGAAAGAAAGATCAAATAGATTCTGGAAAAAAGAAACCCCAAAAGAGATACAAATCTGAAGAATAAGATCTGATTTGAGAAATTTATATTTGGAATTGAAAGTTGGGGGTGATTGCATTCTCCCTTAAAGAAACTGCAGTTCTTTGAGCTGTATTTCTATGAAAAAACCTGAAACCTGTCACAACGAGAACTGGAACTAGTGAATGCATAAACAACGGCTACTGGGGAAGAGGAAAAATGACCTTTGCAAAAGAAATCCATGCCTCAAATCTGAACAGGCTTTAAAAATCTGGGTAAGATTGAACAATGTTGAATTCTTCAAAGCTATTAAAGAACTTTCCATGGTGTAGGAGAGTTTGATCCTCCTGAGGGTAAACAACAGGCTAAAAGGTTGAGGGGGAAAGGGGAAAAAAAAAGTTTTCCTAATCCTGGGAGTTGCGAAGCAGCCCAGGGGTGCTCTGGCCTGGAACGTGTTTGATGTCCTCATGAAAAGTAGTTTTTAAAAGGGGAGAATATGTTGTAGCAGTCATTTTGTTGCATAGCATGAATAACTATAGAATAATGCTTATGGGAGGAAACACCTCTCACCGTGTAAGCAGTCGTGCTCTGAATCACTGGAGTAATTATCACTGCTCAGGAAGAGATACTGGAGGTTCTTTAAAAAAGGAGAAGTTACACATTAGAATGGTGAGGAACAACTGAAGAGATGGGGCAGCATTTCCCAGTGTATTTATTTGAATTATTGGCACATGAAATGTGAGCTGCAAGCTGGTGGGTCACTTTTCTGCTTTCTCACACCCTCATCATGGTTCTGATCTGATCCACACTGCAGAGATGCTCAGAGTAATCCTCCCCAGAAAATCCCTGTTCTTTGGTGCATTCTTATTGCTTATCCAGATCTGTATTGTTCAGAGGCTCAAAAATAACACATAAAATATGTGCCTGTCCTCCATCTTCTTGCCTAATGACCTGCATTTTAATTGGAAAACCAGGTTCTGTTACTTACAGAAACTGCACTGGAATTACATAAAGGCTTTGGCATGGAACATAAGCCAAACTGCGTCCAGGGTTGTAGCTGATTTTCCCTGACATGGAGCCTTAAGAGACTGTATTAGCTCATCTAGACCACATTTTACCCGTTGTGGGGTCCCTATGAAGGGGTATGTAACTCACTAGTCTGTCTTAATGGAAATCAATAATAACGAGGGTCTTCTGGTTTTTTTAAGGTTACACCGCAACTGACTGAATTAGGATTAATGTCACGATTTGTCTTTCCGTTGTTTTTCATCTCAGACAACTTCAGGCCACCGCAGGACCTCAGTCCTTTAGAATTTGTCTTTTTGGTATTTGTAAGCAGTGTTCTCCCTCCTTTCTACAGTCCAGACAAGCATTACATGCTTGATTTCATCCTACCTTCAAATAACTGGTAGCCTTTTGTTGAGTATTGTTTTCAAAATGTGTCTCACAAGCGAAACACATTGCAGTGCTTGTGCTGGGTATCATTTGAGATTAAAAGACACTCTAAACTGCAAAACACTGTCAGGGTGGATGTGATTGCCTGTCACCTCTTAGTCTTTTCCTTGTATGTGTCTATTTGTATGAGTGTTCTTATTTATTTATTTTCTCTTTTCCCAAGTGTGTGTGTTCATATCCTCTTCGTGTAGTATTTTGCTATAGCTTTTGCTAAGATATCCTTATTGAGGATTACCACCTTCTCCATTGCCATATCATTTGAGTGTGACAAATATCCTCTTTAGCTTATTTTCCAAATTATTAATTATAGCTTGAAATAGGATTGAGAGACATGATTTCCTCCAATGCTCTGTGAGGATTCTCCCCACGGCTTGACTGGCACGTGTGGTTGCTATTTGTGATCATTTTCATTCAGTACCTGCCAGCATCAGGACTGTTCTGAATGAGTTTTTAACAATATAACTGAGAAATTCAGTGGATCAACTGATTTGGTGAAGGGCGATTAGATAAAAATCCCTTTTGGATAATAACAAATTGATCTCTGGGTTTGGTATGAAATGTTCTTAAGAAACATATGCCAGTTTTTATCGTTTTGTAATAATCTCAATGTAGTTTTATGTTATTTAATGGACAGTTATTACTAGGATTGGGGGGATTTGCCTTTAGCCTTTTTTTTTAGTTCCCTTTGTGTTTTCATTTCCATGTTTCTGTTGCTTTATAGAACACTGGGTGTTCTTTTCAGGTCTTGGTTGTTGGATGAATCATGTTCTCAGCTTTTTACAAAGTCAGTCCAATGACAACCACCATAAACCAGTCATGCTTCACCCACCAATACCCCTTCTTTTTTTATTGAGTGCTGTGTATTTTCTAATAAAGCATGTTGATATGAGAGCAGAATTGATTTTTTACTGGTTTGTTTTTTTTTTTAACTTCACCTTTCTAAGCTTGGTTTTTGTCTTATTTACGATCCTGTTTTAATATGTGTTTTTCAGTTAACTGCCTGCATTCATGGGTCTGCAGCTATGCTCTACCCGATGTTCTGGCAGCATGTTTACATTCCTGTTCTGCCCCCACATCTATTGGACTACTGCTGGTAAGGCTATATATATATGTATGTATATGTATTATATAGATGTATATATATCACTTAAATTCACAACAGTTTTCAGATTTCTGTATATTAAGTCTTAAATCCTCTTATGATGCAACTGTTACTCTAAAAATATATGGGCATATTAAGGAAGCAACCAACCTAGTAAGTAACAAAATGTATTTTTATGGCAAGATATAATTGTCTACCAGTATGTTGAAATACTCTAATATGTGTGGTTACTATGGAATGCTGCAACATAGATATTGTGTAATTAAAACATGCTTTCAGCATATCTGTGTTAAATGTTGAAATTTGAATTAAGACTCCAACAGTAGAGGATACACAGTTCAAGAAGTGGCCTTGCTTTAGGCTTTCTAGAGCAGTTACACTTTCAAACCCATTTAGAGAATTAGTGGAGTTGTTGCCTGGGCATGCAGGGATGGAATTGGTAAGGCCAGAGCTTGGCTGGAGTTAAACTGAGGGATGTAAAGGGCAACAAGAGGTTTCTGCAGGCTTGGAAGTGAAAGGGCAACACAAGTCAAACATGGAGCTGCTGCTGCATGGTCACATAGGCAAGTGATGAAGGACACGGAGAAGGCTGAGGGACTTGGTGCCTTTGCCTGCACTGGCAAGGTCTGCTGCTGCCCCACCAGGTCTCCCAACAGCAGAAACATTGGTGGGAGTGTGGTGCTTGGGGCACTTTTGGAAAGGATTTGGAAACAGAGGAGCAGCCTCCCTCTGCCCTCTAGCATCTTAAACAGTCCTTCTCAGGAAAAATACAAGCTTAAACTTACTGTGTCATTTTAAGAGTGGCTTTTAGTGTGGAGGTTGGCTGTTTTTTTGATAGCGATAGTGTTCTGTGTGACGTTTGCTCTGCATTTAAGCAGGATTAAGGCACCAGCCGGGATAAGCAGCATTTTTAAGTGAAGTGCTAGGAACGGAAACATGTAGATTTAAAGGCGGCTTGTTCCTCTGCAGATGATTTAAATGTTAAGTATGTGCCTATGTCGAGGATATGGGGAACGGAATCTAAAAAGTGTTATCTCCTGTAGAAATGAACCTTCAATTTACTGGGTGCGCAGGAAGGGCAGGCTCTAGTCATTTGCACTGCCAGCAGGTGCCCTTTCTCTGCATAATGGGCTTCGCATGTGTAATTAACACATGAAGGCTGCTGCTGCCAGCTTTTTCTTCAGGTACATGCTGCTAGGAGTTTTCAGGACAACGATGTGGACCACAAGAGGCTTTTACGCTGGGTTTGAAGATTAGGTATTCATCGACTTTCTGACAAAGACATGTTAAAAGGGGCTAAGTCCAGATCCCGCAGTTGGGAGCAGAAGTGTGCAAAAAGCAAACACTTGGGCAGTGTACCCAAGGAAATAAAGACACAAGTCATTGAGCTCTACTGAATGAATTCTTTCATGGCATAACACCCTGTCCATATAACGAATGAGCCAGCTAGTGTGTGAAAAGTATGATTTAAAAATGCAGAATTATTAGGCAGATTGTAATTGCATGCTCACAACTACAACTGATTGCCTTAGCCAGCTATGAACTTTAATTGGAGAGGTAGCTACACACACTATGATTGTTTGAATAAGTTAATTTAGCAACAATTTATGTGCCATAAATATATTTCTCAAAATAGAGTCCATCTATTTTGTAACCATGTGAACTTGGAGACGTCATTTTTGCCAAGGAGCACTGAGCAATCAGCTCCATGCTCTCCTCTTTAAGGCAGGATTATAGCAGTGTCTGCCTCTTAAGGGAAGTGACCTGAGATTATTTAAAATAGAAGAGTTCAGTTTAATTTTAGTTATTGCCTTGTTATTTCTCTTGCACATGTGACATAAGGATTTTAAAGAGCTGAAATGGAAACAAAATTTAAAGTGAGAATTCTTCAGTTCTTATGAATACAAAATAGCACGTTCGTTCGGTTGACTGTGTCCATTTATTGACTGTGCTGTATGATGCTTCTGAATCTTCTGCCTTTTTGACAATCACAGAAGGGTGCACAGACTGCACTGCTCGTGATCTTTGAAAGTTTTTGAAACAGGTCTATTCCACTTGTGAGTATCTGCTTTTAATCGTTTGAGTTGCAGTGGAAACTTTCCATACAAAGGAAACTTCGAGGTCCCGACTGATCCACTGACAGCTTCATGATTGTGAAGTTTGAAATTTGATGTAATTCCTGGGGAGGGAAGGGGAACACAACCAACCATCGGATCTTTCCAGAGATACAAAAAGGTAGAATAGCTCCCTTTGCAGAGAATGACCGGGTACAGTAACTAACTCTTCTCCTGCCACTTGATGATCCTTTTGGCCAACATCACATAAGGGAGACATCAGGCTTGGTGAGGAGAGTCCCCTTTAGCTGTCAAGAGAGCTGTGCCAAAAGCCTGTATCTTCAAAATGTTTGTTCTCAATACACTGGCTCTTTGTACTGGGGAAGCTGAGTGAGTACTAGTGGTGTAGTACCATGGACACATATCTGAGTAACTTCATATAACTGACAGTCATCTGATCCCTGTCAGTTACGTTCACTGAGGGCAGGAGTAGACAGGAAGCATGGGGAAGAGGGCTGTCCTCTGTTTTCATTTTTTAATTAGGTACCATTCTTTGGTATATTTTCAACCCTGTGGAGAAGACTAGAAATTGGTGGGAGTCCTATCATTAGATTTCACACCCTAAGGTCCAATTGCTTGTTTCTTTAGATACAGAACAACAGAGGAAACATGAAGCACTGCTGGTTGGGTTGGGTTTCTGGTTTGTTGGGGTTTTTGGGGGGCTTTGTTGGTTGGTTGTTCTTTTTAAAGTACATGCCAGCAGGTGCCCAAGGTACTGATTAATGAGATACTGCCACCAAGCATCACTAGCCAAGCACATACAACTGCTTAAATTTGGCCAGATCTTGTCCATATATTTTCTTGTTGGAAATTTAAACATTTCTTGATGTGAAAGAAACAGCCTATTAATTTTCCTCACTTTTTCTTCCAGGTTGTTTTTCATGTGGCATAAAAACATTCCTACTGTGTCTGTTTTATTCCTTTTTGGTCTTGGTGTCTGTGTTTAAAATCAGCCTGTAAGAAAAGCCTGTCTTTGCTGATCTGGTAACACAGCTTAGTATGTTCTCTAAGTCCCAGAGCATTGTCACACACATTATTCTGTGGGCTTTTACCAGAAGCAACAGTATATTTTCTAGGGTGATTAAACCAGGCTTTTATATTAGATGGACTGCTTAGCAGCCAGCATTAATATATTCTGAGAGCCACCTTCTTAAAGCACCCTGGCACAGCTGCTGAACAAATGCTTCTATTGGTGCGGGTTTCCCTTTCTCCAGGAGTTTTTTTAACTCCCTTTCTCCCGTTTGCTAAATCTGCATATAGTTCAATATGCTCTGTCAGTAGGTGGAGGGGGTAACTGGAGGGCGAGTACTCCTGCTGCTCAGGAAACAATGATTCCTTCCTCAGGAGCCTCTCGGTCGGCATTTCGATTTAGCCTGGTACATCTGTGTACTCACTAAAAGCTCTTGTAGTTGCTCTTCTGGTTTCTTAGCTGTATGTTTTCTACATCATTCCAATTTATGCAGTCAAGTTTCTAATTTGCATCAATTACCCAATACCTTTTGGATTGAATTCTGTTGCATCTCAGAGAGTAATCTGAAGAGAAATCAGGAGACTGCCTTAGAGAGTAAAGTACTACCAGTGTGAGAGAGTGATGGATTAAGTCGGTATTTGTATATCAAGACATGAACTTAGTAAATGTGATCAAATCAATTTTCCATGAACAATGAAGCAAAATGCTGCAAATCCCTGTGTGGCTGTAAACTATGAACCTTTTTGAGATCCTTGGGTTTTACATTACTTGTTCTGGTGAATTGCAGTATTTTTTAAGGGTGGGTTTTTTTCACTTAAGAGGAAATGTCCCTCTATTTCACCTGCTTCTCTTCCAATTAGTAGTTGCCCACCTCTTGGGAGCATAATTAAGAGGTCTCTAGTTAGCCTAAGGAAAGGAATTAAAGAAATTGTAAAAATGCAGCTGTAATAAATGGGCAATATATAGCCATTAAGTCCACAATATCCATATTCATGCTTATGCATTGCTACTTTAATGATTTGATGTTTACCTATATAACTCATTTGATTATAAATAATGCTGATTGCATTGGGAACCTCTGTAGCACAAGAGGAGTAATAACCTTTCTCTTTGTTCCAGAGGACTTGGGCAGGCATTTTGTTCAAGCAGTAAACACACAGTAGAAATTGATACTTCTTAATTTTACACTTCATGGATATTGGCTGCCGTCAACCAACTTTGAGTAATTAGTACGTGTGGTTTTAAGAAGCTCCAAGACTGATGAAGTGTCAAGCAGTAGGTAAAGACTGGTCTGAAGGGCAGTCTTTAATCTGTCGTGGGTCCCAGAGGATTAAAGGTTGTGCGGAGTGTTCCTCCCGTTTATACAAGCAATGTGTCTTACTGAAGTTCACTTGAAAGTCTTGGAAATACACATCTCACCTGATAAAATATTAAAAACTGCCTGAGTGTTTCATGTCTCGGAACCTGAATAGCAGTTAGGAAGAGCTGTGATGTTGTGCTCTGAATGGGAAGACCAGGCACACACCATTCCCTTGTACTGAGGATGGCTGAGTATTTAACCAATGGCATATGATCAACACATGATAAAGAAAAAGGGTGATAAAGGCAATTTATGAACCCTGACATAAACCGTCAACATTTGCTTTTAGCTGTGTTTCCTTTTCAGTTATCTTGGTGAGTGATGACAGAAGAATATAATCTCTCTGGTAGATTTGATTGGGAATATTTATGCTCTTTACCAGAACTTTATTTTATTGAGGTTATTTATGATGGTTGCTTGGGTAAACTTTTGGGAGCATAAGATCAGGGTGAATTATTCTTAAAATATCTTTGCTTTTCCATTGCTCTTCATGTGGCATTGAACAATAACATCGGTTCTGAATTTTGATAAACTAAGTATTCAGATAATTTGATTTTTGTTATCCCTGGAGAGAACACTATAAGGCCCACATTTGGGTGATGAACAATAACAGTGGTTTTAAAGCAGTTTTGAATACACAAATGCACCTTCAAAACCAAGTGCTCCATGGATGCGTCACTGAGCCATGTTTCTCCATGCCTGTCACCCTTCACACAAAATAAAACCCATGTTTGTTTCTCTTGATACTCTGCTGGGATGTTTGCAGATGCCTCCTGTTCGCCATTCCTTTTTGGTGTCTTTCAGTCATTACAATCAATGGCTTTTGTGGAAAAAAACCCTTGAGTTTATTTCTTTTCTTCTTCTCCCATAACTTGTTAAATTCTTTGTTAGTCTTCAGATCTAATCTGTTTCTAAATGATGTGTTTCTTCTGAGTCATGTCTGCATCGTGGCCTTTCTTACTCACCTGTAGTGCTCCCAGTGTCTTTGCCCAAGCTCTGACCATTCAGTGTGTTTAAAGAAATAACAGCTTTCAGAATGCTCTTACAAGTCCAGTTCCTGTAGGCTTTATGCAGTCCCTGTAGTAGTTTTCTGGGCTGTATTGCCTTTACGTGTAATGTCTGTCACTGGAAAACTGGAAAGATGATTCATTGCATTCAAAGCTGATCCATCTACTTTAAGCCGTATCTTTTCTGTAGCTCCTTAAAATCGTGCTGGGGGTGCATGACTTTAAGGGTTTAGGCATTCTTATTGATCTTTATTGATAAACTGGAGGACTGAAAGATGGACATGATACAGTTAATTAACTTTTCCAGGTTCAGGTTTTCCTGTGCTTGGTGACAGACTCTACTTTTGGGCATGTTAATAAATGGCTGGTTTTCTGGAATACTGTGCCGTTGCTGCTTCCTTTCATTACATTAGCCAAGGTTCCACTAGATGAGACATGTGCAGTCTTAAGACTTCCTGCCGAGGTTCAGACTTTGTATTTTTGAGATTGAAGCTGTCGTGTTCATGAAACTACTTAATTAGAAACACATTCATGGCCGTGTACACTGGAGGAGTCTTGAGCAGCACAGCCAGGCACATGGGGAAGTTGAGCATTTGTGCAGCTGGCAGCTGACCCAGTGGTTTATACTTTGAATATAAAATTACTGGGTATTTTCTGGCTTCTGGAATGTGGCCACTGGAAACAATGAGATGTGGGTGAAAGAGATAGTGTTTGTCACTAAACCGTGGAAGATGACAAAACTACTCCTCGGTGCACAGTGATCCATATATAATAAATGTGTATTGTGTTGTATGGATAGATTTCTAAGAACTTGGATGTATGTTCTCATCTGTGGAATTCCCAGGGAAGCAGAACCTTCAGGATTTCTACTAAGTTAGTTTCTGATGTAGTGTTCTCTCTGGGCTGTCATAAGGTGCTGTGTTGGGTGAAGCTGGGGCAGGGACGATCTCGCTCAGTTCAGTGAGTTGCGATGTGATACACGGCACTGCAGGATTCCACGAGTGAGCTTGTGTGGTGGTTTTACATTAGATTTGTTTAATGTCTTCAAAAGAAAAAAAAAGTGTTTTCATGTGTCTAACACAGAGGCTGTTTCCATCTCTTGGTACAGCATCCAACAGAGTAGCAGTTTCAGGGGGTATATTAATAAACATGATAAACATTAATATGCCTATCAGTAAATACAGTTTTAAAAGGTACTTCTCATGGAAACGAGAAGCAGTGATTTTTGCTGGTCTGGTGCCTTTCAGTAGTTTTTTTTCAGCAGTGTACTTCTCTTACTGAGCAGTAGGTACCAGTTTATAAAAGCAATATGGAAGATATTTTAATCCAAGGCAGAACAGTGACATTTCTCTCTCTTTTTTTTTTTTTTTTAATCTGAAATTGAAAATGAGCTCTTTGAGCTGCTGTATCCAAACCAAAATGAGGCTATTTTAAAAGTTGTGTCTGTCTGTGTGCTTTCCGTTTAACAGGCAGTATATGCCATATTTGCAATTAGCAGCTTTGGCATCCTCTTTGATGTGTTCTAATAAGCAGTGCAAATATAAGCTTTCCCTGATTAGTTGAGTGGGAGTCCTGTAATAGGCTTAATATTAGAAATACTGTATACACAAAGATACAACTTCCATTCAGTGTTCTTCTCGTGTTACAGGGCCCATGTTGGTGTTTGCTAACATCATGGAAGGAAAAGCAGAAAAGATCAATCTTTCTCTTAAACGTTAGTGTGCTGTTTGAGAGCAGCGGTATCGCACCTATGTCTGAGGCTACAGATTTGGCCAAAGAGCCTCTTGATGTATTTGTGTTCTGGTTTTGGTGTATATCCCAATAGCTCTGGAGTTCATCAGAATCTTCAACAGTAATTTCTGTATTTTTCTTTCATAGATGTAAACATTTTAAGATTTATACTTAAGGATAAATTATTTGAAATGTGTCTGGGCACATACTCAAAGGATTTAAAACCTGTGGTATGGGGTGATAGGTGTACATTAAATTAACCACTTACTACAACAGGACCAGTTGTTGTAAAGAATACTCTTAGAAAAAGTCTGGGTATTTTTGTTAATATTGTAATAACACGTTTTGTTTGGTTTTTAAGAAAAGACCCCAGCAGTATAGAGCCCTTTACCAGCTCTCCTTAGGTACCTGTCTTAACTGAGTCACTTAAAAATTCTGATGTCAAGAAAAATGCAAGTCTTACAGAGGTGAGAGGATATTGTGTAGTAAAAAAAACTTTTTCAAATATGGAATAAAATTTTGTTCACATGTGGTTTCGTTACATGTATATTATTTTTTTAAGCAAAATCTAATGCAGTATCCCAGTATTTTCCTGTAGCTAATTTTATAAGTCAGATGTGTTAATCCAGGGTTATGAGAAAGTAAAGCTGGATTTTTTTCCTCTTTGCAGTGCCCCAATGCCCTACCTCATTGGAATACATTTAAGTTTGATGGAGGTAAGTCTTTCTCACCATTTCTGAAACACTTTTTTATGTTTTATGATTTAGAGCCAGCAATTATACATTCATTCATACACTTAAAAATGAAATCATCTTGTTAATTTGGGAGTGCTGAGAGAACTGAAGTTAAGCATGGTAATGTTAAATCTTAAGGGCGTTTGATACCTAGTACTCTTTGGGCATAGTTTCTGTTTGCAGTTCTGCAGTTGGTGACAAGCTCATGTTGTGTTCCCCTCTCCATCCTGTTGCTTCACTTAAGCAGTTTCCTGCCTTAGTTTGACTCTATTCACAAAGGCAGAGTCGATATTAAACCAAAATGTTGACAGTTACAGTTCTCTTTTAGGCTTTTGCAGACAGATTGTAATTTTTTTAATGTACAGAAGATCTGAAAAGAAGGAACTTGCTGTTAATGTTAACACAAAGCTGGCAGCAAACCAGCCCTCACAGAAAGCTTCACATATAAACAATTCAGAGTAATTCATGTGACTTTTTAAAAAGTCTAAAAGTGGAAATAGCACATTTGCGTTTGCTTCCAGTACTGGTGAAACAGTTGATGGTTTTCCTCAAAAGTATCTGGAGGACAACATAAGCTATTAATTTAGTTCCCTGTGAAAATCAGAGTCCTTATTAATTGTGCCCCTTTACACAGGAAGCCTGAACAACATGTATGCTCTGTGTGGGAAGAGGCATTCC